GCCCCCCTGCCACTCAGCCACCGCCTTAGACGTCAGGGTGAGAAGCTTATAAATACACCTTCAGTACCGACATATGGAATATGCTCCCCGTCTGCTATTAACAAAGACTTTTGTCATCCTTTTTCTTTTAAAAAGGAAGCTGATTTTAACCTTATATTCTGTTAATGGCCTTGTAGCGCTACCTGAGAAAACGCAATCATGGCAGGGCCTCTCTGAACTCATACACAAAGGTGCTACTCTGTCCATCTTCAAGTTCCTCTTAAAGATGAACTTCTGTCATCGTGATGACAGTGAATCAAGCTGACTTGACCATAAAACTGTTCACAATTCCCCTAGTGTTGCCAATCCCTCCCCTTCTGTGTGGCTGTCAGTCTACCCCTGTCTTTAAACCACAAAGTCACAGAATCATAACGTATCTCAAGTTGGAAGGGACCCATAAGGATCATCAAGTCCAACTCCATCAGGTCCCAGCAGGAGAAACCATTGTCCTTGAGCCACTGGAAAACAACCAGGAAAACTGCTTTTACTCAGTCAGTCTGTAGTTAACCTCACTGGAAGGCACTCCTACATTGAGTCTTAGGCGAAAATCTGTATGCCTAAGAACAGTTTCACCTACATACTAGGGGGGAAAGATTTTAATTTCCTTTTATTCAAAGAAGAGAGTTTTTAAAACTTGGCAAGCTAAGCCCCTCAAGCTGGTAATGTCTTCCTTAACTAAGTAGGAATCTGCACCCACCTCTTAATGCCATCATTCAGCTCCCGTACACTAAAACAACACACTACAACCGTGCACATTACTGCACTTCACGTGCACATGCAACTGCAATAAACGGCCCCAGACTTTTCCAAATGGATCCGTAATGTGCTCCTCATACTTACTGCTCTTAAGAACTGGTACCTACTTCTTCCTTTATTCCCCACGAAACCCAAAAAGCAAATTCAGCTCTTTAAATGCAAAGAGATAGAGATTCCAGCAGTAAGTAAGTTGTCCTTTCCTTAAAACTATTGAGCAAAACAAAGCAGGCCAGAAGCTGATGACAGTCCCAGCAGAATGACTCTCTGCAATTTGTATGGCTCTCTGCAATTGCCAGCTCAATGGCATGGATGATGGAGGGCGTGAAAGAGCAGGAAACAGCAGTGAAGACACCAGATAGGGGAAAGAAAACCACACCAAATTCCTACTTACTCTGCTGATGTGTCTAGTGCGAGTCCAAAGTCCCTAAAACTTTCTGCTTTGCTTTCTTTTGGGAATACTCTAGGGAAGACTTCCCAAAGTATCTGAAAAATGTATCCTTCGTGAGACAAAGTGATCCTTTGTCATACAGATTCAAGAACCCATAGGCCAGTCAGCCTCACCTCAGTCCCGGTTCTACCTCGTAACTTGTCACTGCCGGTGGCGTCCATCAGAGGTCAGTACGGGGGCCAAGACTACTCAGCACTGTCATTTACAACCTGGACAACAGCACGGACTGCGCTCTCAATAAGTTTGAGGGTGATACGGAAATGGAGGGAAGGGGGAGAATACGCTGGAGGGCAGGGCTGCCATTCCCAGGGACCTGGACAGGCTGGAGGAAGGAGCCAACACAAACCTTGTGAAGGTCAACAGAGACAAACGCGAAGTCCTGCAGCTGGGATGGAATAACCTCACGCAGCGACACAGGCTGGGGGCCAACTGGCTATGTAGGAGCCTTGCAGAAAAGGACCCGGGGGTCCTGGTGGACAAGTTGAATGTGAGCCACTGCTGCAGGGGTGCACTGCTGAGAGCTAACTATATACTGGCAGGTATTGGCAAGAGCACAGCCAGCAGTTCAAGCGCTTATTCCCCTGTGTTTAACGCTTGTGAGGTCACATCTGGATACAGCATCCAGCTTCAGGGTCCCCACAATACAAGAGAGATGTCGACAAACTGGAGACAGTCCAGAGCCACTAAGATGGCTGAGGAACAGGGACAAGGAGAGGCAGAGGGGACTGGGTTTGCTTAGCCTGGAAAATGAGAAGACCAAGGAGGGATCTAATGGCAGCCTTCCACTATCTAAGGAGTCAGGGGGGCAGGGAGCCATGAAGAAGATGGAGCCAGACCTTCCTCAGAGGTGCACAGTAAAAAGCAAAAAGAGGGAATATTCAGTTCAGTGCAGCAAGGGGAATTCTGATTGGAAATAAGGAGAAAAGATTTCATGAAAAGTGATTAAGTACCGGAACAGGGGCCCAGAGACGCTGTGGCAATCTCCATCCTTGGAGAGTTCCAAAACTCCATAGGACAAGGCCCTGAGCACTCTGATCTAACTTGGAAGCTGGCCGTTCTTTGAGCAGGGGTAGGACTAACGACCTTCCGAGGTCCCTTATGCCAAGGAAGCCCTGGAGTACAACTCGATTCTTGCTCACCTGGCCTGCATCCAGCCTTTTGGCCAAAGGGGCTTCACCTCTCCATCTAGGAAGGTCTTCACATAATCCTCTAGAGACTGAGCCTTATTCTTGTCAAGGTCATAACCATCCAACTTAATCTTCACCAAGTGGCAAAGCAGCTCCCTGAAGAACAGGAAGATTTCAAATACAGTTACGCAGATTAACTTGCCCCCGTTGGAGGTCGTTCTGTTTATCCGGGGCTGGATAAATACGCTAAGACACGCCTGGCTCTGCATAACACCCTGCCGATAAAACCGACCCTGCGCCGCCTCCGCAAGAAAGAGGAAGGGAAAGGCACGTTCCTCGCTCCCTGTGTGCACGCACATCGATGCGCCAGGGGTTACCCCTTCCCATTTTAATAGCCCAAAACCCCAGAGGTAGCAAACCAGCGCCCGAATTACAGGCGTCGTTAACAACCGCAGAACGGAACCTCTCTGCAGACCTTCGTGCTGAGAGGCAATGAGAAGGCAGGAAGCAAAGCTGGCTTTGTTCTCAGTGAATCGGCCCTCTGCAGAGCAGCACCCCGATTTGTTACAGAGTAAGATGAAGACGACAGCAGGACTCATTCTCGTTTCACCCTTTGTCACCTGCCCTTCACCCAGCACTCTGTTCTTCGTCAGAGCCCTGGGTGCCAGGGCCAGCAACCCCCGTTAGCTTTAACTGCTTTCACAGCCACAACTCTGGTCCTGTGAAGAGTCTAGCCTGCAGGATTTCAGCAGTTCAGCTGAGCTCCTTCTCTTCTCAAAGATCTGTCCCGCTCTTTTGGCCTCTGCACAGAGGCTTCTTAGCACTTCTCTCAGAGTTGGCCTGTGCCCGAAATCAGCTTAGTTTTGCAATGTATATAAGGGTGAGATTTAATAAATGCAGCAGTGGCTTCCACAAATAGCACAGTCTGCCACCAACCTGCAAGCTGACTGTTACTACAGGTGATCAGCGCTGCTCTGAAAACAAGATGCAAATACTGAAATGCTTCACTTCCAACTGCATAGAATAAGACAAGTCACAGGTTCACTTAATATTTAAATTATGCAAACCTGATTTCATCATTCCATTGAAATTTCTTTCGCGGTCCCATGACGCGCTTCCCTCCCTTTTCTTCATCCTCATCATCATCAGAACAAACTCGATCTCGCTGCTCTTTATCCTTTTCCTCTTCCAGCATCCTAAAATGGAGACAGAGATAACGTGGAAGTCATTGTCCCGGAGATCCAAGGACAGGATTAAGTATCTCTGAACAAGACTGTTCAGAGCTCTCAATAGCCAATGATAACACAGGCATGGGAAGAGGGCCTAGATCTCTTGCTTTGGGTGAAAACTGAGCTAAGTGCTCATGGTTAAGAAATCTCCCAATATTGCATAATAAGAGACCACCGGACCAATCCGGCCTGACTGTTCTCAGACTGCCACATTCCTAAAGACACGCCCGCACAGAAGTGGAAGACTTCAGCCAAGTTCTGGTCCCAGCCATGCTGCTGTAGTTGGCATCGCCATAGATAGCACAAAGAGCGCACACAGATGAATGAGGCCAATTAATGCCCCTCAGCAATTTTTGACTACAGAACAAAAATAGGTGGTAAACTTCATGAGGGCAGCCTGCAGGTCACAGGGAGGCTGCTGAGAAGAGCTACAGATGCACAGCAAGCAAACAAGGAGCTTACTTGGCAAACTTGGCCTGAGTGTGGGCTTGGCATTCCTCCTGGTACTTGGCCAGCCTAAGAACAGTTTCACCTACATACTAGGGGGGAAAGATTTTAATTTCCTTTTATTCAAAGAAGAGAGTTTTTAAAACTTGGCAAGCTAAGCCCCTCAAGCTGGTAATGTCTTCCTTAACTAAGTAGGAATCTGCACCCACCTCTTAATGCCATCATTCAGCTCCCGTACACTAAAACAACACACTACAACCGTGCACATTACTGCACTTCACGTGCACATGCAACTGCAATAAACGGCCCCAGACTTTTCCAAATGGATCCGTAATGTGCTCCTCATACTTACTGCTCTTAAGAACTGGTACCTACTTCTTCCTTTATTCCCCACGAAACCCAAAAAGCAAATTCAGCTCTTTAAATGCAAAGAGATAGAGATTCCAGCAGTAAGTAAGTTGTCCTTTCCTTAAAACTATTGAGCAAAACAAAGCAGGCCAGAAGCTGATGACAGTCCCAGCAGAATGACTCTCTGCAATTTGTATGGCTCTCTGCAATTGCCAGCTCAATGGCATGGATGATGGAGGGCGTGAAAGAGCAGGAAACAGCAGTGAAGACACCAGATAGGGGAAAGAAAACCACACCAAATTCCTACTTACTCTGCTGATGTGTCTAGTGCGAGTCCAAAGTCCCTAAAACTTTCTGCTTTGCTTTCTTTTGGGAATACTCTAGGGAAGACTTCCCAAAGTATCTGAAAAATGTATCCTTCGTGAGACAAAGTGATCCTTTGTCATACAGATTCAAGAACCCATAGGCCAGTCAGCCTCACCTCAGTCCCGGTTCTACCTCGTAACTTGTCACTGCCGGTGGCGTCCATCAGAGGTCAGTACGGGGGCCAAGACTACTCAGCACTGTCATTTACAACCTGGACAACAGCACGGACTGCGCTCTCAATAAGTTTGAGGGTGATACGGAAATGGAGGGAAGGGGGAGAATACGCTGGAGGGCAGGGCTGCCATTCCCAGGGACCTGGACAGGCTGGAGGAAGGAGCCAACACAAACCTTGTGAAGGTCAACAGAGACAAACGCGAAGTCCTGCAGCTGGGATGGAATAACCTCACGCAGCGACACAGGCTGGGGGCCAACTGGCTATGTAGGAGCCTTGCAGAAAAGGACCCGGGGGTCCTGGTGGACAAGTTGAATGTGAGCCACTGCTGCAGGGGTGCACTGCTGAGAGCTAACTATATACTGGCAGGTATTGGCAAGAGCACAGCCAGCAGTTCAAGCGCTTATTCCCCTGTGTTTAACGCTTGTGAGGTCACATCTGGATACAGCATCCAGCTTCAGGGTCCCCACAATACAAGAGAGATGTCGACAAACTGGAGACAGTCCAGAGCCACTAAGATGGCTGAGGAACAGGGACAAGGAGAGGCAGAGGGGACTGGGTTTGCTTAGCCTGGAAAATGAGAAGACCAAGGAGGGATCTAATGGCAGCCTTCCACTATCTAAGGAGTCAGGGGGGCAGGGAGCCATGAAGAAGATGGAGCCAGACCTTCCTCAGAGGTGCACAGTAAAAAGCAAAAAGAGGGAATATTCAGTTCAGTGCAGCAAGGGGAATTCTGATTGGAAATAAGGAGAAAAGATTTCATGAAAAGTGATTAAGTACCGGAACAGGGGCCCAGAGACGCTGTGGCAATCTCCATCCTTGGAGAGTTCCAAAACTCCATAGGACAAGGCCCTGAGCACTCTGATCTAACTTGGAAGCTGGCCGTTCTTTGAGCAGGGGTAGGACTAACGACCTTCCGAGGTCCCTTATGCCAAGGAAGCCCTGGAGTACAACTCGATTCTTGCTCACCTGGCCTGCATCCAGCCTTTTGGCCAAAGGGGCTTCACCTCTCCATCTAGGAAGGTCTTCACATAATCCTCTAGAGACTGAGCCTTATTCTTGTCAAGGTCATAACCATCCAACTTAATCTTCACCAAGTGGCAAAGCAGCTCCCTGAAGAACAGGAAGATTTCAAATACAGTTACGCAGATTAACTTGCCCCCGTTGGAGGTCGTTCTGTTTATCCGGGGCTGGATAAATACGCTAAGACACGCCTGGCTCTGCATAACACCCTGCCGATAAAACCGACCCTGCGCCGCCTCCGCAAGAAAGAGGAAGGGAAAGGCACGTTCCTCGCTCCCTGTGTGCACGCACATCGATGCGCCAGGGGTTACCCCTTCCCATTTTAATAGCCCAAAACCCCAGAGGTAGCAAACCAGCGCCCGAATTACAGGCGTCGTTAACAACCGCAGAACGGAACCTCTCTGCAGACCTTCGTGCTGAGAGGCAATGAGAAGGCAGGAAGCAAAGCTGGCTTTGTTCTCAGTGAATCGGCCCTCTGCAGAGCAGCACCCCGATTTGTTACAGAGTAAGATGAAGACGACAGCAGGACTCATTCTCGTTTCACCCTTTGTCACCTGCCCTTCACCCAGCACTCTGTTCTTCGTCAGAGCCCTGGGTGCCAGGGCCAGCAACCCCCGTTAGCTTTAACTGCTTTCACAGCCACAACTCTGGTCCTGTGAAGAGTCTAGCCTGCAGGATTTCAGCAGTTCAGCTGAGCTCCTTCTCTTCTCAAAGATCTGTCCCGCTCTTTTGGCCTCTGCACAGAGGCTTCTTAGCACTTCTCTCAGAGTTGGCCTGTGCCCGAAATCAGCTTAGTTTTGCAATGTATATAAGGGTGAGATTTAATAAATGCAGCAGTGGCTTCCACAAATAGCACAGTCTGCCACCAACCTGCAAGCTGACTGTTACTACAGGTGATCAGCGCTGCTCTGAAAACAAGATGCAAATACTGAAATGCTTCACTTCCAACTGCATAGAATAAGACAAGTCACAGGTTCACTTAATATTTAAATTATGCAAACCTGATTTCATCATTCCATTGAAATTTCTTTCGCGGTCCCATGACGCGCTTCCCTCCCTTTTCTTCATCCTCATCATCATCAGAACAAACTCGATCTCGCTGCTCTTTATCCTTTTCCTCTTCCAGCATCCTAAAATGGAGACAGAGATAACGTGGAAGTCATTGTCCCGGAGATCCAAGGACAGGATTAAGTATCTCTGAACAAGACTGTTCAGAGCTCTCAATAGCCAATGATAACACAGGCATGGGAAGAGGGCCTAGATCTCTTGCTTTGGGTGAAAACTGAGCTAAGTGCTCATGGTTAAGAAATCTCCCAATATTGCATAATAAGAGACCACCGGACCAATCCGGCCTGACTGTTCTCAGACTGCCACATTCCTAAAGACACGCCCGCACAGAAGTGGAAGACTTCAGCCAAGTTCTGGTCCCAGCCATGCTGCTGTAGTTGGCATCGCCATAGATAGCACAAAGAGCGCACACAGATGAATGAGGCCAATTAATGCCCCTCAGCAATTTTTGACTACAGAACAAAAATAGGTGGTAAACTTCATGAGGGCAGCCTGCAGGTCACAGGGAGGCTGCTGAGAAGAGCTACAGATGCACAGCAAGCAAATGAGGAGCTTACTTGGCAAACTTGGCCTGAGTGTGGGCTTGGCATTCCTCCTGGTACTTGGCCATCTGCTCCGGCATGGCCCTGCCAATGGCTTCCTTCAGCTTCTGCAGAGGTTCCTTCAGTCGCCCGCCCTAGAGCACGGCACAGAACAGACTGAAGTTCCGCATGGCCTCTGCCAGCCCAGGCACCCAAATCCGGCAGGCCGACACCTCGCCAGTCCCGAACCCGCACCACCGTCTGCGGCGCCTGAACCGTGCTCCGTGGAGAACACCACCGCGTTAGAGTGATGACAACCGTGCGCTGCAGGTCCGGGGTAACACACGCGCGAGACAGGACTGTGCCACCCGATTCACTCACCTGCTCGTAGAGATAAAGCTTACGGGCACGCTTGACCAGAGTGTCCTTACTGCACGGGAAGAAGGCAGCCAGGTGGGCGTACACCCCTGACCGGATCTGGCTGTTCAGCTCCCGGGTCTGCAGCTCGATGCTGAAGAAGAAGACAAACACAACGTTGACCAGGGATCTGGCAGGGGCTCTCTAAGCAACAGAAACGCAACTCTGATGCAACCTGGGGAGCTGGAGCAGGCAGAGAGGGACAAAGGACAAGCCAAACTACGTGACGGTTCTTTAGATTTTAGAATCAACAGACACAAGCCCTTTATCCCAAGCTAGGCCTTTTAATCGAGTCTCAGAGTATCTGGAAAAGGAAGAAAAGGATGTCAGCACTCTCATTTATTCTGCATTTCTTCCTGGCAGCTGAAGTGCAGGAGCGTCAGGCAATGAAACGAGATATACACGCTGCTTACGTCAGATACTATGGCAGTCTAACACAGGATATTATAGAATCAAACTTTATCCCTTGGGCTCAAACTTCCTTCCCAGTGAGCAGATTCGAGAGGTCAGTGTGCGCCATACCCATCTACACAGTTAGGTATAACTTAAGAGACTAGCTTTCCAAGCCACCGCTCAGTGTCAACAAGAAGTGTAAAAACCCCTAACTGATTCTACGGCAAAGTCATACAAACCACTTCGGAATGCGGTTTAAGTTATCAGTTTGAAAACAGATTAGGACTGTGTGTGCAGTCAGCACTGGAATGCTGAAAGGTGGTAATCACCACTTGAAAGGAGAGGGAAACAGACTCCCAAGCTTCCCTTCGGCAATTCCCTTCAAGTGCCTTGATAAACCTTAATGAAATTAAAACCTCTGCGTAAGTATTACGCTGCGATGATCACAAAGCTGTGCGCACTCATCAGCCTTCTCCAGGCACTTGAAGAAGAATGAAGCCATTATCAACAGCTGTCTGAAGCAACACTGGCATTCTGTAATTGGGGGACTCAAAAACACAGAGCAGTAATGGAGTTCCTCCAGTCTGCAAAGCAAACCAGTTGAACGCAGCAGCCTTATCCCAATTATAAAACATTCCATATAGCATCTAACTTAAATAGCAAAGAACACGCCTGACACCGCCGCCGGGGAGAGATTTACGGTTCTTGTAGCAAGCTACAATCACAGGCCCAGTGACCAAATTTACGTACGCAGGTATCAAGCATCATCTTGAGAACAGGAGGCCTGGATACATCCCTTCCAATCTTCTCCTACTTCAGTTATACGTCATATTTCAACTGAAAGCCATTTCTAGGAGACTTTCACGTTATCCCAGGCATGTGCTGCGTGGAGGACCTGTATAAGGACACCCCCGCAACTCCTGCTAAACTGGCTCCTGAAGTTACCAAAAATGCTCTGCCTGATATTCTCCCTCCCTGCTCTTCTCTCCCCGTGGCACTTACTCCAGTATGATGTTGTTGATATCCTGAGTGAAGAATCTCTGTTTGCCTTCTCCCTCTGCAGCTCTGGCAGCCTGGAAATTAGCAAATAACACAAGTCATCATCAGTTCACAGATCCAGACAGCCACAAGCAATCAAGCATTTTTTAAAATCACTTCACCGATACTCTAAAACAAGGCACGGTTTTATTCCACCAAACTCTACACCAGCTCCCTGCTGTAGATGGGCTAAAAGCTGCGACAATCGCCAGACAGAAGAGGGACTGCGTCCTCTCCTCTTACGCATCCTCACTCCAAGTCCAACCCTGCCACCTGACCGGGTAAGACCACGTCCTGCCCACAGACCTCCCCATCCTGGACTCTCCTGCGCAGACACACTGGAGTCACTACACTGGAGCGAAGATTCCTCCATTTAATGGGGCAAAGGAGATGGCTTGGTGGCCACTGGCTTCCTTGGCATACTTAGAATCATAGAATCATAGAATCGTTAAGGTTGGAAAAGACCCTTAAGATCATTGAGTCCAACCGTTAACCCAGCACT